GCTGATCTGGGTGAAACTCGATCGAATTTGTAGGCTGTACAGTTGGAGATTTTTAAATTTGTGAAAAGCCTATATCCGCAATATTAATGCTGAATCTTGCTGACCCGATCTGAGTCCAGATAGAAACGACTAGTGCACAGGTCATCACAATGAGCATGTATAACGTTGACGATCATCAAGTCGCAGCGCAATGCAGTTATTATAGTTCTTTGCAGATTACTCTCCGCGTGGTGATTCTGTTGATGCATTGATGAACACCCATATCGGCTTACTGCTCTTAAGCTTGGATCATTAAATTCTTGGCTCCGCCTGTCCTTATGAGCCTACTACTCGATGGTTCGTCAGCTCATGTGTTTTCAGGGGTTTTTCTTGCAAAGTTTGCCTGCTGTTTGGCTTGCATCCTCGATGAAGGACAATGTCCTCTTTGCAATGAGCCCAGTGATGTGGAGCAATATCCTCGTTATCATGTCATGCCCTCTGCTATCCACCATATCATCTTGCATTTTTTGATCACTAACCGAGATGGTTCTAATACAGCGAGGAAATTCAAGAACACAGTTTATCAGCCCTCTTGAATAATGTCTGTGTTTGTTGTCTTTCTGTTTTGCGAGGAACACCACAAGGATTGTGTGCGTACGTGGAGCTTTCACTTTCAAGAATAACGTTCTCGATGGTGTGATGCTTGATAACGCAGGAATCATTGAAAATTCTTCTGACTCGACTACAATGGATGTGCCAATTGTTTTACTATTTTATGGGAGAATTATGTTCCCCGTTTTGCACTAGCGAATAACTTGTACCGTGAATATCAAAGGTGAAGAGACTCGGACTAGAGAAACTAAGGGCGAGAACAGAACTCAGTCTTGGTTCAAAAAGACTAAGGGGTAACTATGGACCATACCTAAGGGCGAGAACAGAACTAGTAGAGTAGTAGTTAGTAAGAGTAGAGTAGGGATGTCAATAAGATAGCTCACCTCAGTCTTGGTTCAAAAAGACTGAGGGAGATTGTTCGACGAGAGGAGGAATTAATACGTTTGATTGGGACGGAGAGTCAATAGGAAACGTGTATGACGCATGGTAGGAGGAGTGTTCGTGTATGTAAAATGAAAAGGCTAAGTACGTGTAAGGGTCATATCTTGATACTCCCACTCGAACGCAAAACGCTAGAGACGCGGGCGTGCTCATTCAACTGGGTCTTCGTTTGACGATGAACGAAGAGCAAGCGAGTGTCGATGGTTGCGGAAAAGTTTTCGTGGTAGGGATTTCGTGAAGATGTCGGCAATCATATCATGTGTGGGTACATAGGGAATGATGATGGTGCCGTCGCTGACCAGATCTCGAACGAAGTGATAGCGGACGCGAATGTGCTTGGCCCGGTCGTGGAATTGAGGGTTTTTCGTTAGTGCGCGACTTCCATTGTTATCACCATATAACGTGGTGGGGGTGATCAGCGAGAGGTCAAGACCAAAATCGCATAGCAGCTGGCTGAGATGGATCTGTTCGCGGGCCGCGTTAGAGAGTGAGATGTATTCAGCTTCAGTAGACGAAGTCGCAACGACGGATTGCTTTTGGGAACGCCAACTGATGGGGGAACCGAAAAGAAAGTAGACATAGCCCCCAATTGAGCGACTGTCGTCTTTATCAGACGCGAAGTCAGAATCCGAATAACCGATGAGTCCTTGGTTGGACAAACCAAACGTTAGGGAATGATGTGTGGATCCACGAAGGTAACGAAGGAGATGGTGAAGCTGGCGGTAGTGGTCTATGCCAGGGTTACTCAGATATTTTGACAGCGCCGATACTGCATATGCAATATCGGGACGACTAACGCGCATGGCGAAGTTGAGTTCCCCAACGACACGCGCGTATGGCATGTGCGCAAATTGTTGGATTTCGGCTTGAGTGAGGGGTGCAGATGACTTCGTCAAGGAGATCCCTGGAACCATGGGGGTAGATACTGGTCGACAATCTGACATCCGAGTTTCACTGAGAATCTGTTCGAGAAAGGAGGATTGGTTGACGGTAAGGTGCTTCTTAGAGCGATCTCGTGTAATGTGCATTCCTAAGAAATGACGCGCTTCACCAAGGTCCTTCATTTCAAAACGTTTGCTCATCTCCGATTTGAAACCGTTAAGGAAATCCCGACAGTTCGATGCGAGCAACATGTCATCGACGTAAACAAGGAGCCAGATGGTCTTGTCATCTTTTCGTAAAACATACAGACTATAGTCTGCTTCGCTACGAACAAAATTAAAACCTTCTTTTCGCAGGAAATCATCGAGTGTCTTGTTCCATTGACGACCGGCTTGCTTGAGTCCGTAGATGGCCTTGAGGAGTTTCCAGACCCAATCTGGATGCTCAGGGTCTTCGAAGCCTGGAGGTTGACGCATGTAGATTTCTTCGTCAAGCTCGCCATTGAGAAAGGCGGTCTTCACGTCCATTTGATCAAGTTCAAGATCAAACTTAGCGACCATGGAGAGTAGTGCACGTACGGTGTCGTATTTTGCAACAGGAGCAAAGGTGTCGGTGTAATCTAGTCCTTCGATCTGTGTGAAACCCTGCGCAACAAGGCGGGCCTTGTGGCGGGCAATCTGGCCATTTTCGTCATACTTGTGCGAGTACACCCACCGTGAGCCGACTGCTTTTCTCCCTGATGGGAGTGGTGTTAAGACACCCACTCCTTTTTCTCCCAACGAAGCTAACTCTTCATTCATTGCGCTTTCCCAATGACCCGAATCCATTGACAAGCGAGCGGCAGCTATCGTTTTGGGGGGAAGCTTCCGTCCATCAATCTTGTTGCTGTCCGCCAAGGATACATGCTTCGCGGAGTGCTCAATGGTGACATCGGGGGTAGCACTAATACTAAGATTTTCTTCTTCAACAACCTCCTCCTCAACAGTGACCGGTACATAAGTCCAACGCCGCTGTACTGGGACATGTTTTGTTGGGATGGCAACAGTTTTCGGGACTGCTGGTCGCGCGTCAATGCGTTGACGTGTCGAACGTCGTGGCTCAGGAGATGGTACCGTTTCTACCGGAACTTCAGCAGGGACAGGGAGAACATTGTCGTTCGACTGCGGGAATGGCTGTGGAGGTTCGGGGATGAGAGGAGCAGAAGTCGGAAGTACTCCCACTGAAACGGTACTGGGTCCTGGTAGTGTAATACCGGAATCATCTTCTCCAGGTCGTGTGGTTCTGAAGCCGTCTTCTGATATCGGCAAATCATGTGGCAATGCGAGGGTGGGCTGCTGCATTGCAATGCGCTGGTTGTGTAATTCAACGAGGGGCGAGAGAACTGAGTTGGGTGTGCCGTAGAAGAATTTTTCATCAAAAAGGACATTTCGAGAGCGCACCGTCTGTCGTGTCGCTGGATCCCATAGAAGATATCCCGCATCTTTGACGTGCCCCAGTAGGAAGCACCGTCTCGAAACAAAGTCGTACTTGTGGCGATTGTCGTCTGGGATGTGAGCATATGCGAGGCAGCCAAACGGACGTAGGTGCGAGACATTTGGTAGTTCACCATAGAAGAGTTCAAACGGCGTTCTGTTGTCAGTAGCTGACGACGGGAGGAAGTTCTTGATGTATACTGAGTTGAGGATGGCGTGGCCCCAGAACGAACGAGGAAAACCACTCTGGTGATGGGCACTTAATGCTCGGGTGGCAATGGTCTGGTGTCCACGTTCGGCAACACCATTCTGTTCGGCTGTATGAGCTGGGAAAGCGGCGCATAGAAGTCGGGAAGGGCACGCAGTAGCGCTTGGACAAGGGTATATTCGTTGCACTTCCATTCGATGGATTCAATGACCTTGAATTGGGCCTTGATGTCCGTGATCTCCTTAATGGTCTTGGTAAGAGAGTCGCTATCAGATGCTTTGGGAAGGTCAAAGATACGGCCCATGAGGCTCGTAAAGCGGATGCCAACAGACGCCTGATACTTGTCTTCTAGCGCTTTCCAGATGACGGCTGGATCAGTGACACCCATGAAGTGGATGAGGTCACTTGAGTGTACCGTCATACCAAGGAGTCCTTTGGTTATGCTTTGGCGTTCTCGGAAAGAAATGACGTCCGCGCTCGCATCATGTGCCGCGAGGCGTTTGTTGAAGTCAGCCTCAGTCTCAGTGGTGCTTCTGGTTGGGCGCGGAGGACCCTTCTCATCTCCTGAAAGGAGGCGCCAAAGGTTGAAGAGCGAGAGCCAAAGGTCCATGGTCGTTACCCACGAGGTGTAGTTGGAGCCATTGGCGTCCAGAGGAGGGTGAGGAAAAGATGTTGGAATCCGGATGTTGGACGACGATATGGTGGACATGACAGGCGTCGAACGATGTGTCGGCGATGGCGACAATAGAATGGGAAGATTCAATGGGTGTGGTAACGAGCGAGTTGGTACGACAGGCGTTAATGGCGGCGATGGCGGCAAGGGAATGGATAAGATCCGCAGGTCAAGCGGGGATAGAGGGCGACCTTGTTCCAGTTCGGAAAAGGTCGGAGAGGCTCAGATAAGGCGAGTGGAAGCGAGAAACGAATGTATGCCTAGTCTGAGCCAGGGCTCATAACCTATCAAAGGTGAAGAGACTCGGACTAGAGAAACTAAGGGCGAGAACAGAACTCAGTCTTGGTTCAAAAAGACTAAGGGGTAACTATGGACCATACCTAAGGGCGAGAACAGAACTAGTAGAGTAGTAGTTAGTAAGAGTAGAGTAGGGATGTCAATAAGATAGCTCACCTCAGTCTTGGTTCAAAAAGACTGAGGGAGATTGTTCGACGAGAGGAGGAATTAATACGTTTGATTGGGACGGAGAGTCAATAGGAAACGTGTATGACGCATGGTAGGAGGAGTGTTCGTGTATGTAAAATGAAAAGGCTAAGTACGTGTAAGGGTCATATCTTGATAGTGAACTTCTGAGATATTTCGAAGATCTTACTGGCCAGAGTTCAAGAGAAAATCTACGCGATATACAGTACCACCGCCCGTGTCAACACGCTTATTCCAGTCGTCAAATCCGTTGCAACAAAAAGTCTTTGACGGTAATATTCGCGCTCATGATATGAACATCGTGTACAATTATTTGCGAGTCTTATCTTAGTGTCTTCATGCGGAGTCGGGGACTGGCACAGCCAAGAGCCGCTACGATTCTAGTATGTACCTTCTATATTCCTGGATAAACTCCAACATATGTATTGTGTGTATTGTTTTGCGCATTGACACGGCAATCATAGCCACTCCACAGTCTAAAAATGAAATGAACCCTGACTCTGCTGAGACGAAGCGACAGGACTTACAGCAGGAGGCTTGGAAGATATATCATAAGTGACCCGATTGATCCCACTCACTTCGTTTGTGATGCGGGACGATATCCGACGCAAAATCTCGGGAGGGAATGCATACCTGAGAAATCAAGTTAATATTGAACAGGATCAAAAGTAAGATAAAGCCCACCAATCTGCAGTCATGAAGTCTTCTGACGTCACCGCTCTCAGAGCAATTACCTGTGAAATACGTTGAGACAGCGAACAAGAGAGAATACTGTTCTCCAAACCTGTTCGTACGTGCGCTTGTCACCCATCACGCCAACCGCCTTCACAGGAAGTAAGATAGCCATAGCCTGGCTGATTTGATTGTAGAGGTTCGCCTTGCGAATCTCCTCGATGTAGATATGATCGGCTTGTTGCAGGATTTTCACTTGTTCGCGTGTGACAGGACCCAAAATCCGAATAGCCAGACCAGGACCTGGGAAAGGATGACGTTGAACCAGAGGTGCTGGTATCGACAGGAGCCTCCCGAGCGCACGAACTTCATCTACGCAAAACGGTGAGTACAGTCGGCAATATAGGATTCCGTTAACCAGACCTTTGAAGAGCTCGCGTAGGGGTTCGATTAACTTCAATTTCATGTCCTTGAGGAGCCCACCGACATTGTGATGGGTTTTTATGGTCGCACTAGGGCCCTTAAAGCTGATGCTCTCGATAACATCTGGGTATAGGGTTCCTTGCAATAGCCATTCGATCTTGCCCTTTGCTCCATTCTCTTCCTTCTCGGAAGCTTCCTCGATCTTCGCTGCTTCTGTCTCAAAGACGTTGATGAAAGTATTCCCGATAATCTTGCGTTTCTGCTCCGGATCCTCGACACCATCAAGTCGGGAGAGGAAGAGCTCAGAAGCATCCACTACGGTCAGGTTGACCCCCAGATCTTTATTCAACATATCGTTGACTTGTTGTGCTTCGTTTAGACGAAGCACGCCGTTGTCCACCATGATGGCGTGAAACCTGATACGCGAGTAAGATATAAGTTATCAAAATGACATGGAGGCACACCTGTCGCCGATTGCCTCGTGCATTAACTTGGCTGCAACGGTGCTGTCGACGCCCCCGCTGACTGCACCAATCACACGGCCTTTCTGACCACATATCTCGCGGATGCGGTCGATCTCCTTGCCAATAAATTCCTCCTGCAATCACATTGAGTATGACAATAACGCAACACAGCAATTGACTCACCATTGTCCAATTTGCTTGGCATTGGCATATGTTCAGCACAAATCGACCGATGAGTTGCCTGCCTTGAGGGGAATGTGTTACCTCTGGATGGAACTGAATGCCATATAATGGCTTAGAGTTATGTGCAATGGCGGCGTATGGAGCGGTGCTCGTCCGTCCGATGACATGGAAGTCAGGAGGTATGAGAGACAGTTGATCGCCGTGCGACATCCAAACCTTATCAAAGATCAACTTAGCTTATGACAAACAAAACAAAAAACGCACCTGCATCTGATCGCCGAGGCCTTCAAACAGGGCATCGACAGAGTTCCCAGATTCGTTGAACCTGCTAATCTGAACCTCTGCAAGCCCGTATTCGCGATGATCGCATTTTGCTACATGTCCCTTGTAATTCCAGCAGATCTCCTGGATCTCGCGTGAGTTGGTGTCCATTGAGATATTTGAGAAGACTAGACCTGGAGGCCATAACAGATACCAAGGATAGGGACGCCCAGAGTGTAAATACCGGGGTCAGCGTGAGGTGCGTCGTCGTCGTATACAGAGTACGGAGATCCAGAGAGGATGATCCCTGAAATCTGTGTCAGAAACGCGTTTCCCGCTGCGCCACATAAGCGAACCTTTAGGCTTGAACTTGAGATCTGCTAGCCTCGATGTACACGGCATCAGCTCTGCGTATACGTTCAACTCGCGGCATCTCCTTGTTATGAGGTGACTGTACTAAACCAGCATTCATGGTCAATACATGAGGCGATTTGGGTGAGAATATGACATATCCCGAACCTGCGAACCGAAGTCAAGAATAAGGATGGTATCGAACTGATCATGTATTTCAGCCATGTTTTATGATTGAAAGTGGAGGAAGAGATCTTTCATCAGTGAACTAATCGGTTGCTATTTTTAGATACAGTGAAACTGCAATCCGAAAATTTGAGCCTTTACATAACCATCCTATTTAGGTCAAGGGACGTGTCTGCACCGCTTCGACAAATTGGGATGCAAAAGTACCGTGTTAATAACTGCATTGCATCTGATGGGAAGTGATAGGGAACCTCCCGAGCACCGTGATGGCCCGCCCATACAATTGAAACGAGAAAATATTTTACCGTCGGCGGCCCTTTGATCAAAGATTCAATTCAGGTTCAAAATTCCCTCAGAGGCGGTCTGAGAATGATGTGTTTCGATTACTATATTCAAGGTCCCTGAAACTTAATGAAGCTTTGAAGGGTCGCATTGATGAAAGACGTGGACCGAACTGCTGGTAACTAACCTATCCTAACATGAAGTTTAGAATCAACATAAGGCTTACTAGCCCAAGACTCTTACACACCTTTTGGTTTAAGATATAACTTGAATCGTGCAGGTATGCCTCTGTCCGGATCCAGAACACACCATAGTGCTATTAGTAGGCGCGCATGATCTCTTGATGACATACTAATCTACCATACCGTCACGGGTCGAGTGCTAACGGGCTCGCAGACTCTGAGTTTAGGCACGAGCTAGCTGCTAGTAACAATTAACAGCACTTACGGCTGATGAATTATTCGTCAATTTTGATAGTGAGTCCATGTAAATACATAATTATAAGTTGTCTATGGGTACAACGTTTGATAATATAAGAACAAGTGTCAGTGCCAAACCAGCAATTGTAGACAAGACTAAAAGGTGAGACGCAAGAATATGGAATACAGTATGCAATCTGAAAGAGAAGTCGATGCGGGAAGATGCACATAACATAAATATTCACAATGCCCAAGGCTTACCGACGATCGTCGCCTCTTTTCCTAGAGTTAGAGGCACCCGATTGCAGTTTCTGCTCCCAAAAGGCGCTTCCCTCTCCGTCTTCCCAATCCCCCGTTACCGGATTTCTTTCAAAGTCACCATCCCTGTATCCATATCGCTCCTGCAGTAAGTTGAGGAGAGGGTTACGAAGGGCAGGGTCCATACGTACGGCCTCTCCAGGGTGGTAGCTGCCAACACCATGACGAGACAAACTTTCTTCGAAAAGCGCCTCTTCATATGTGCAACCACAGTTTAAATAACCGGGAGGAGCCATACGGGGTGGGTGTATTCGACGCTCTCGACGCGAATCGTGCCAGGAGCATAACGCATTTCCAGCGCGATTCAACGAACAGAACAGCCGTATGCGAGCTTCTGTCCGAGCTTTCCAGGCTGCCTGCACGGCCAGAGTGGGCAGAGTACTAGATGCTGCAGAAGTAGCTGTACTCGTGGACGGCCCTGGGTGTCTCATTGAAGTGTTAGCGATGCTGCGGCCCGCTAATTCTGCTTCAAGCTCCTTGATACGCTGACGGCCTTTTTCATTTTGTAGCTCAAGGTCTTTCACCTTCTTTCGAAGGTGTTTGTTTTCTTCTTCCATGGCGTCCTGTGAAGGGCGGCGAGACCGATCAAATGACATCCGAGATCCTGGGCGGCCCAGCATAACGGCGGGAGAGTTTTGAGAAGCACGGTCTTGTTGAAATGATATTTGACTTGGATAGGTTTGCGCAAATGGTGGAGACCTTGGTGTGGCAGATGGATGGTTAAGGTGTGGTGTATCAAGACCTATGGTAGGAGTGGTATTGTAGGGAACGGTGGAATGAATACTGGATTGCATGTTTGGCGGAATATTGGACATATTGTGAGCACCAGGCACCCAAGATGTCGGTGTATTTGAGTAAGGAGGTCTGGTTACAGCATTCCATAAGTGTGGGGGAATGTTCATGTCCCCGACGGCGCCAGACAGGCTTGATGTCGGAGCCAAGCCGGAACCGGACGCTTGTGGGCCTATATCCATGTTTCCATGAGACTGGAAGAGCAAGAAGTACATTATGTGAGCATGACAGCGAGGCTGGAGAAAGGTGACTCACCTGGACAAAAGGGCTTGGCAGTGTGTGAGGCGGTGACTGCATGACGCGTTGCCCATTGTCCACAGACCTTCGCTCAGGGGAATCCGATTGAGAGTAAAGCATCCGACTAGGCGTTCCCCTCGAAGAAAAAGGATGGGTCATGGTCGTGCGTCGATCAAACACTTTACGAGAATCCCTCTTTGAATGAGCCTGTCGAAGGCTTGAGGATTGAGAGTGCGTTCGTCTAGAGGGAGAACCAGTAGAGGAATAAAGCCGAAGGGCAACGGGTGAGGACGACACAGTGCGACGTTGAGTATTTGAGAAAGTGCGGGTAGAGTTTGAGGGGGATCGTTGGTTCGGTGACGTATTTTCTATAACCTCGCACTTAATATCCACGGAATGGTCACCCTGGATGCCTTCGAACGGATTAAATGTATGGAACATATCTACAAGGCCTAGGCAGTGTTAATCACGCGACCTTTCGCTGGCAAGGAGAAGATTGGATGACTAGAGCCTCAGCGAGTCGAGCAACGGACAGAGCCTCCAGAACAAGGGGATGGTTGAAGACCTTAGGATGAGTGTCGCGACGGAATTGTTAGTAGTTGCGAAGCAATGTCTGATACAACCGCAAACTCACAGCATAACACGTCTCGATGATTCAATCACAACACCTGCGACGGGCTGTACGGGAGCATTGATCATACCTCCGAAGACTACCATTGCTAGGCTAAGCGCTCTATTATCAAAACATTTTTTGATCGCCAGTTATAAACGCCGGACTTTAGCTGGAGGTCACGGCATGCGATCATCGATGAATTGCAGTGGCACTGCCCGCCATAGGTCGGGAGTCCTGCATTGTGCTAGCGGATGGTAGCCAAGTTTGAAGTACAACTTATTTATATGCGTGGACACTGGAATTAGTCAGTGGCAATCGTAACTGCTCGCTGGGAAAGTGGTACGAAACTAGTGTCCTGATTCCTAAAAATTGAAAGCCCAGTCAACACAACTGGGACGCACGTAGTACGTACCCGCGAATGCTATGTCACTTGGATTTATGTACTTAACGTTCGACAGTGCGGACATCAGGGCCAAGCTTTCCTGGACGACCGGCACAATACAACATATTCAGCTGTGCCTGTGTCGTGCAGATCATGGGATTGCTCATCAGACACGGCAACCCTTAATCGACGCCGATCTTCGGATATCGATTTGACGTCTGGAACAATTGAATGGCACGCGCTTGTCCTCCAACTGCAATTTACACAACAACAACATAAATTGATAGGAACTTGGAAAGGGAAAATAAATCTAGGGTATTATTACTGCCAACAATGCCACAAGAAGCACCACAGGCAGTGCCAATGTTGCACGCAGTAACTGGGATATCCATGTGCTTACATGCTGTAACCATCATAGCCAGTTTGTCAGAGTGTAGCCAAAAGTGAACAGAAACAATGATAGACAATTGGATACACACCAGAAGCTGAAACATGGCGAATATTGATGACCTCAAGTATCCATAGAAGCAAAGAAGAGGCCGGCTGCTCCCAGTCAATCAATTATAGCCACGGCTAAGATCCATATGATACTGAATGCAAAAATACAACTCATTCGGAGAGCTGCAGTCCCGAAGGACTAAGCACGGCACTCAGCGACATGTGCCAGAAATGAATCGCAAAGGCGGGTCTTGGGGGACCATGGGGGTGGGACCTTGTACAAAACCCCATGGGTTAGGTCTTGCCTGTTTTTAAGAGCCTGAAGTTGATCAACCACTCGATCCAGCTACGGCTTCAGTGTCGTATCGACGTATATCTCGCCAGTGTTTACCCTTGGGAAGAAGGGCACTGTATTGGACTGAATAGATGGTCACGGTACATTGTCCGATGACAAACCTAGACTCGTCCGGCATTTCAATCTCTCCTGTCTTGAGGTCGATCTTGATAAGTTTCGTGATTTCCACGGCAGGACGGTTAGGACATCTGGAAATATAGCCATGTCAAAATCATGTCAACTTCCTGGGGTGTAACATTCACACGAACATCCTAAAGATACGAGGGATAGGGAAGCATCGAGGCTGAACTTCTCCACTAGGAAGCTCTTCTGGTTCACATGTATATTGCACTTGAAGAACACATGTCGCTAGTTATTCAAGAACGTATCTGTAGAACATTTATCATACCTATTTCCAATAGTCGACACTTCTTTCTCTGAGTCTCTGTCACATCGTCGGATTGTTCAGGGAAGGCCATGTCCATACAATACAGAAACTGTGAGAGAAGAATTGAAGGACGTCAGATAGGGTGGGACTAGATGTATGTCTGTCGACGGCTCGCTGGTCACGAGTCGAGGGTGGGACTCTTGTCACGATAAACTCCCACACACCTTGTATGGCAACTCCTTGATAAGCGCACGTGGCTTTCCGAGATAAAAAGTCGCAGCAATCAGTTTCTCATCTGGTTTCACTCATTTTCCTTCTCCCATCATCGATCATCTCAGAAATATTTCAACATGGTCTTCAAAGTAGCAGGTACGATGATCATTTTTGTGTCAACTTTGTCGATCCGAACGAGTATTCCCTGTAGATGTCTCTCTCGCAGCGTTCGGTCGCAAGGAGATTGAGATTGCTGAGGTATGAGTTTCGCCTTTTCGCGATCGATCGTCGACCGATCCCATATCTTTTAGAATGAAATGCCAGGATTGATGTTCGTCAGGGAAAAGGTACTTTGTGCGAGCTCGCAGATGAGTTCCTTTTGTTGATCTCCTTGCTTTAGTACGGACCCTCTAAGCCTCTTTCTGGCGCTCGTGTTGCTGGATGCTTGCACATGTAAGTTCGAACAACGATTAATCGTTGCGGAAGTCCTTATGGTCTGCAGGACCATTCAAACCGCCGTTTTGATCGAGACATTGACTACTCTCGGCGCTGAAGTCACCTGGTCATCTTGCGTAGGTGCCTATGGTTATGTTATCATCGCGAGATACTCACTTCCGTTGGTAGAATATCTTCTCGACCCAGGACCATGCTGCCGCTGCGTGAGTATATCTTACTCTATGATATCAATATTCTAATCGTGACTTTATAGTATCGCTGCAACTGGAGTTCCTGTCTTCGCCTGGAAGGGAGAGACTGAGGAGGAGTACCAATGGTGTATTGAACAGAGTCTTACTGCCTTCCCTGGTGGCAAGTCATTGAACATGATTCTTGACGACGGTGGTGATCTTACCACCCTTGTCCACGAAAAATTCCCCCAATACCTGAAGGGTAAGTATTGTTATCCATGTTGTAACGCACCGCTGACTTGGCCGGAATAAAGACATCAAAGGTGTTTCTGAGGAGACTACTACGGGTGTCCACCACCTTTACAAGGCTTTCCGTGAAGGCAGGTTGAAGGTCCCAGCCATCAACGTCAACGACTCCGTCACGAAGTCCAAGTTCGACAACTACTATGGATGCCGGGAATCTCTTGTTGATGGTATCAAGCGTGCCACTGATGTCATGCTTGCCGGCAAAGTTGCCGTTGTTGCTGGTTACGGTGATGTCGGAAAGGGAGTGAGTAGTAATATTTTCGCTTTCCACCGGCTGTCGTTGATAGTTGATCGTGTAGTGTGCTGAATCACTTCGTTCATACGGCGCCCGTGTTCTCGTTACGGAAATCGACCCCATCAACGCCCTGCAAGCTGCAATGGCTGGTTACGAGGTGACGACCATGGATGATGCCGCTCCGCGTTCAAATGTCTTTGTTACCACCACTGGTAACCGTGATATCATCACCGGCAAGCACTTCTCAGTTATGCCCGAGGATGCTATTGTTTGCAAGTGCGTACAGTATCCATTACGTCGGTGATGAGGACTCACTCTTTGATAGCATCGGTCACTTCGATGTTGAAATCGATGTTGCATGGTTGAAGGCCAACGCCAAGCAGGCTGTCAATGTAAAGCCTCAGGTTGACCGCTTCACAATGGCTTCCGGTCGTCACATCATCCTCCTCGCTGAGGGTCGTCTTGTAAACTTGGGGTTGGTTGATTTTAAGTTCAATTTCTATCCCGTAATTAACCTATGATGAATTACCAGTTGTGCCACCGGCCACCCGTCCTTCGTCATGTCCTGTTCCTTCGCGAACCAGGTGTTGGCCCAGATTGCTCTCTGGACCACCCCAGAGAAATTCCCCCTCGGCGTTCACATGCTGCCCAAGGAGCTGGACGAGGAGGTTGCTCGTGCTCACCTTGCTCAGCTCAACGTCAAGTTGACTGAGCTCAGCACCGAGCAGTCCGAGTATCTTGACATCCCTGTCCAAGGTCCATACAAAGCTTCGCACTACAGGTTAGACAACTGCGCTCTGTCGTCTTACATTGACCAACCCCTTCAATAGGTACTGAACGTATCGATCATTGCATGACGGCCTCAACGTGCCCTCGTTAAATAAGAGGAGACGGGACCTTCAACGTCCTTGTAGGTTGGATGTTAATTATGGAAGAGTCTCAACGCTCTTTGTCGAGGTTGACAAAAAGGCTGGCTTCTTGCGGGGCCATTGTTGGGGATTTCCTATACTTAAAAGACTTGGCTTCTTGTAGTGCGCTGTGGAGTCGGGACAGTGCAAGCCATGCGGGCCTCAACGCGCCCTATCTATAGTGTAGCCTATCTATGCAATCGAGATGAGATGAGGATGTTGATTTGCGCAGATGTCAGCTTTAAGGGATTGTATCAGATCATGGGATTTCTATCAACATTATGCCTGCACTCAGATGCTGCGCACCAATTTCGAGCGTCAGACAAGTGCGCTGGACAAGATCCTCCGCAGGACCAGACATTGCCTTCTGGCTTTGCAGCCAAACTTTCAGAAATTGCTTGGATGCCTATCTAGCAATAAAGCTTCAATGCAATACTCAAGTTGCATGCTAGACTCATCACTGCCCCGGAGCGTTAGATCAATCAAGATGCTTCTCACTTTAAGCACCCCTGAGGTTTGGCCATCGCAGCACTTTTAATTTGGTCACGATACTCAGCAATGAGATCGCAATCATTGAGCTCCGAAGGCGCGATTCCAAAATCCAAATGATTTGACACATTGCTCACCTACAATACTAGTGTGGAAGGTGCAAGAGATATGCGTAATCCTAGAAACACCTTCGACATGTAGAGCTATTTTTCAGAAAATCTAGCAAAGAATGCATCGAAAACCATGAATTTGGCGCAAAGCCTTGGGGATTGTGCTGGTATCAAAGATAAACAAGTCGTGATCTGTTTTTGTCACGCCTGAGAGTCACGAACGACGAGCTCTTTGATGCGTCCCTCAGCAAGATCGTACATCCATCCGTGCACAGTAACTTTCTTCGCAAGCGGGTCTGCCCAGGCAGTGGTAATGGGCTCCGACTTGCAGATATTGTCGACCTGCTTGATGATATTGGCTTCGACGACCTTGTTCAGCGCCTCATTCGCAGAGCACGCGGAAAGATCAAGAGATCGAACGAGTGCGGTAAGGGGGCTCAACCAGCGCGTGAGTGGGGTGGATGTGCTGGGGTTAGTGGCAGCGACTTTGGCTGCTTCTATGCAAGCCATGGCACCTCCGCAGTTGGTGTGGCCGACGAGAACGACTGTTGGAGGCATGTACTCGTTAGAGAGAGGATCGACCTCATCATAAGAGTAGTAAGAAACTCGCCGTGTTCAACGCCAATTTCTTTGACAGCAAATGAGAGGACTGAGAGGGCGCTGTCATCATGGAGGTGGAATTGGCTACAGGGACGGGTATGAGTATAACACAGATTTTGATATTTTTTTTTCGTACGTACTTGGCAACGTTTCTGTGCACAAAAATATCACCAGGCTTAGATGCTGTGATGATCGATTCCGGTACTCGTGAGTCAGAGCAGCCAATCCAAAGGATCTGAAATGAAATTCGAAAATGTGGCTAAAAACAGAGCGATGGGCATACCTTGGGATTCTGGCAGGTGGCTGACCGAGCAAAAAAGTCGGGTGTGTCCTTTACTACGCTTTGTGCCCACTCCTCGTTGGCGTTGAGCAAAGTTTGGATGGGTCTGTGGGACATATTGCGGAGGGGTGGGAAGCGTAGTGAAGGTAAGACGAATAAGGATCGGAAAATGGTTGGGCCACGGATGTAGGTGGCCCTAAGCATTGTCTTATATCTTGCAGCACGGTGAGTGTCGGTGAGTAGTACAGATTAGCTCAAGTACGAATGGTAGGAAGAAGGGCATGGATGATGGGATGTGACTCGACTCTCGCGCGATCGAGTGGGAGGCTGGGAGCTCATGTGAGCGTCATTCTAATCGCTAGCATAACGGTATATATCTATTTTAGCCAAAGCTTTGTTCCTCGTTGAAATATTTGGTGACTTTCAGCAGCATTTAATTAGAATACTTCAAGATATATATTATAAAAGTCTGAGTATCTCGCACCTCGTCACAACTCAGAAATGCTTTTACAGTAAAACTGCAGACCAATTATAATTTATATCCAATGCATAGTGGAGGTGTCTCAAGCAAGGTCACGGAGTTTGAAAGGCCACGAACATGCAGTAGACTTTTCCGACATCATGCTCGCTAGCAGTGCTCTCTCACGGAACCATCAGTACAGCCATCTTACCTTTTGTTAAAAGAGGGAGAGCGACCGAGGTCACCGCTAGGTGAGACACTAGCCCCTACCAGAGTATCGATCTGACAGTAAGCTTTATTTGATAATGTGCAGGTACTGTGTAACGCCGATTGGTTTGCGCTCAGACTCCATGGGAGTATGATTTGAAATCCCCGAACGAAGATCTTGAGAAGATTAGCTCTCACACCAAGAAATCAGTATAAGCTTGCAATGCCTCGTGCCTTGGAATGACTGCGCAAGTTGGTTATCGGATCATGGATGTGACCCCTCAAACGCCTCGTACTCGTCAGGTGGACCTCCGGATCAACGCGCTCAAACACCACTGGTGACTAATTACAGTGTGGACTAATTACGTCGTTCGAAACCGGTGACGTACATATTTGCACTAGTCCTCCATGCAGCTGGTTGTCGACTATTCTGTGGAGGTTTTCTACCGAAAATCAGTTGTCCTTATGGGTCTGACATCTTTCCTCAATTGTTCCCTGTTGTTTGTGTCACAGCGATACAAATGATATGCAACCTGGGGTTATCCGCGAAGGCTATCTGCTGATTAGGGCAGAGCCAAACTTTGCTTTGCATACCCATTCTACACGAATTCATTGTCAACATTGACACGTCGACACCCTGCTGACTTTCTCCGCTGTGATTCACTTTTGCTTATTATGTTGCTCGTCAACTTTCCGTCAGCTTTCATGTCCCTTGTCAATCCATGCTCAAATACACAATCTCCGCGAACTATGCACCTCAAAGGTTGGACAATGATCCCCGCCAGTATAACCTCTAAGGCTGCGTAGGCCCATCGGAGTGTTTTCGTAGTGCGTTTGCTTCGCGACGTCCTGTCTTCTAAGTGGCCCCTTGCGCCGAACATAGCAAATCACCTGAGAGACACAGGTAATTAACAGCTGGGTATTTAATATGTCAAGCGAGATCGATCCCCGCCGGCCATCTAGCCTCTATCATTAAGACACGCTCTTAATGACGTGGATCAGACTCGTGTGCACCACGGATATGAAGCTCACGACCGTGCAGATCTGCGTTGACTATATCTCATACGAACTTTCGGTGGAAGTGCCGATAGCAACTGAATGTATTTGCGTGATCGGATCGACTCTGGATACCATGCCCGGCAGCCTGGGTGGAAGTGGGTAGGCGACCGTAAACATCCGTTTGAAACTCGAACAATTCATGTACTCCCGCCATTCGTAGGCAGTAGTAAGAGGACCACAAGGCAATGGTTATCCTGACCTCATTACAAGTATACATTCGAAGAAGCTATTACTTGAGCATTTTTGGAAGCACTGTATGAGTGAAGCGTGTATGCGCGAGGGTGCTTGTTATATGCATCCGCCAAGAATGAATAGATAGTTTTTCGTGCTAGTGGGATTGAAAACTAGGCTTCTACGGACCGTTCCTCTCTGGTAAGGATTGCCTTGTGGCATGTGCGCAGTATATTTATCCTGATGAAGTTCCAAAGGCGATTACAATAATAGAGAAGTCATTATAGCGTCGGCAATACACACAGATTGCGGGACCTTCATGATACGAATTCATTTTCTATGCCAAACATAATTGAAGAGACTGGGACGTAAAGATCCGACCCGACGTTTGCGAATTCGCCTGACCATGGGCGTAATACAATAAAAGGGATCAGCTGTCCAAGATACGGCAATGATGGTCATGAGGTGGATATCGCCAGGAGGTCATGAGGAACATTATCAGTTTATCAACTGGATAAGAAGCCTATGTAAAAGATGTTGATCGATGAATCAGATGCTTTAATGCTTAGACCTATTAGGCTCGATCGTACTCGGTCGAGGCTCGGTCGTAGCCGACGCCATTCAACGGGAAGTGCCGGTATGGCTGTAGGGGCCATTGTCAAATTATTATGTAGACGAGCGCGTGCTTGAACCCCTTCATCGCCTCCCCCTACTATCTTCCATATCCCTACTTTACATCAAACACGCCCAACCTGTTTTAGCCCCCACCTGTTACCGGTCAAGCATCTCTCAGACCATTGATTTCTTCAACCAGTCAATTAGTTACCTGTTAACCATCGATTTCGCGTCAAGTCACTTCAGGCACGTTTGCAAGCAGGCAGATGGTTTCGTCAGCGCCTGCACCATTGATTAAACCTCCAGTTTCTTACGCTGAAAGTGTAAAAAAGACTCCTCGCTCTCCTAACGCTGTTCGGAACCCTCTTGGAGACTTTCCAACCGTCTCTGGCGCGTCTGGGGTATCTTCATCTTCAAGTTCTTCACCACCTTCGAACGCTACATCTCAATTACCCAAATTGCTCAGTTTTGTCGAAGCGACAAGCGGATCTCAGGCCGGTGCTTCTGATTTTCCAGAACTCCCTACCGAGATATCTTCGCAGCATACCGTTAAGGACCACAACGGATCAACGAACCATGTGCATTCGAATGCCAACAACGTGCCAAAGGCGGCGCCTGCTGTGAATGTATGGACCGAACGTTTGAAAGAGCAGATGGCCCATGCACATCTGCATGTCCACCAACCTCAGAGGCAACCTCGCGCAATAGTCACATCTTCTGTCGGAGCGCCTTTAGTCCCACCCAGGCTAAGGCCCATTGTCATGAGTACTTCCCCGCATTCAGTTGATGTCCCCAATACTGTATCATCGACTTCCACATCTCGTTCGAGTCCATCGCAGACGATTTCTCTCGATGGAGACCATGATGACCATGATCCTTTTATCGTGCGCATGCCTTCACACCTTTCTCGACACTCGTCCTCCAAGTCTATCCATCTAGTTAATGACATTGATGTTTCTAATTGGCAAGAGGCCGCAAAATCTCCATCTGTTGACCTTGGAGGAAATGATGGTGGCGACAAGTCCCGAAGATCGGAAAATCACCCGGGCGCACATAATTCCTCCAATTCAGTTGATCTATCCAGAAAGAGTACGTTATTTGCCTTGTCGACTCCCTGCCCTTCGCCTTTCTTAAGCATCCTACTTTTACGATTCTTTACAATGGTTTTTCGATATATCTAGACCGTACTGACTGGATGATGGTGCTCGTCACATTTATGTTCGGCAGATAGCATCGATTCTACCCGACATCAAAGTGACTCAAGACCAACATCAGCTCAAATGTCTCGGCTGAACAGCAGAAACGTATTTGAGGGGAACTCTACAGGTTCGCACTCGATGCCCTATTCCCGAGTAGAAAGTCGAGCTGGGAGTTCCTCTTCGAGTCCTCGGCTATCAATCCGAGGAAGGCGGCTACCGGATGACGATTTCACTGTAGTGTACGACCTTCGTCACGAGGCTCCAAAGGTTCCCTACAATCCGCCGCGCATGAGTTCAAGGGTCCCAGAGAGAACTGCATACCACCATCACACTTTTTCTCACCCCCCCGACATTGCATCGCATTATTTCAGATCTCCGCCCATACCACCCACTATTGACGCGCCACTGCATTCTGCACGGCTGTCGCCGCTACTTTCGGGCATTCGACACCCGTACTACGCAAATCCGGTTTCAGGACACACCTCTCCTACGTACGCGGGCTCGCGCCCTCCCTCTGGAGCTGGTACTCCGCCATACCCAGTATATCCTCCATACACAGCGACATGCGGATATTGTCATTCGCGCATTCCGTGGGACGGGTTCGTTCCTCCAATCCACCCTCGCCCTGTTCCGGGCTTTTCTACACCGTTACTGCAGGACGAGTACATTGTGCCTCCACTGATGCATCTGTCATTCTTCAATCCACCCTTTCCAGGCACAACGGAGCCATTATCAAAGACCCGTCTAACGCAGAGCGAGCGTTCATGTGAGAGCTCGCATGACTCGCATTTGCCTCCTGTTATTATTTCACGAAATATGGTCTTTGGGAGTATCGACGCGACCCATGATCACGTTCATCAGACGCCGGACGAAAAGGAGCCTGCGAAGAAGGAGGGCAAGAAATCCATTGGACGAATGGCGGAACACTTCTCTGGCTTTTACATCGGCATTCCACCTGGTGAACCGGTGCCATCCCGTCAAGGAAATAAAAAACATTCGAACAAGAACCTTTCGAAGCCTCCTGCGAGTCCCGTAGCGGAACAGGAAGGGTGTAAGACGGCTGACGAGCAACCGAATGCTGTTGTCGGGGAAGATGTGTCAGCACCTAGTAAGAAGTGGGTGTTTGGAACGACAGCGTTTGACAGGCTGAACGGGGCTAGTCCATTGGAGGATTCACAGAACACGTCATCTGAGCACCTACCTCCACCCGGTCAACCTGTGCAACCAGTCGCTCCTCTACCTGACCAGCATCCGCCTGCTGCGACATCTGTGGCGCAGGCATCCAAGAATGACAAACCTGTCACGCCGCCGAGCAGTAAAAGACAGAATGGATCCTCAATCATGAAGTCTGAGGATGATTCTGCGTTGAGCGACGTCTGGGAGGTAAAGGACTACGGATATGGATTCGGCGACGTGAGTGGCACAGATAATGCCACTGATGTCATTCGCCGCGCCAAAGAGGCTCGGGAGAGGCAACGACAGTTCGAGTGGCAGAGAGAGCAGGCACAAATACAGCTGCAGAAGGAACAGGAGCTACAGCTTGAAGTACAAGATATCCATACTCATCACACGTGGCAGGAGGCATTTGAAGGGCGGGAACTGTGGGACCAAGTCAAAGAGTTTGGACGTGGGCGACCCCGTCGAGGCTCTTGGGCTGGTTCGTATGGGCCGCACGAACGGGGCGCTTATGGGGGTCGAAGAGCCCGAGGATTTGGTGGTCGCTACCAAGGGCGACATGCTGGCCGTGGGGGCTACCACCACCAGCAACGGTCCTCCATATCTTCTGTCACGCCGCCTCCACAGTTCAATCCTTTGCCGCTACCTATGAACGGTTACGTCCAGATTCCATCTTATACACCTCCCGATTACGAATTATACCATCCCGTTCCCGTTCCAGTGACTATACCTGTAAACGGCGCACCTCCCATCCCTTTGCCACAGTCGGCATTGCCGCTCCCTCTGGATCCAACATGGTCGTGTCTTCTTGGCCAGTTAGAGTATTATCTGAGCTCTGAGAACATGGCACAGGACTTCTTCCTTCGGCAGCGGGTGAGTTCAATAATCGATGGGAATCTCATCTTTCTGACAAGTACTGCCATGTTACGCAGATGGATGATCAGGGATGGATACCCATTTCACTGATAGCTTCGTTCAACAGAGTGAAAAAGCTTACCACAGAGGTCGATCTCGTGCGCGATGTACTCAGCTTGTCCAACTTAACTGAGGTCAAGGGTGAATATGTTCGAATGGCCAGGGAGCAGTGGAAGCAGTTCGTCTTGCCTAATGCTCCAAGGAGCATTGTGTGCCATCCGATTGGATCCGAGGGAATAGAGCCTCAGGACGATCAGGTCGCTTATGCCCAGGTTCAGGAGGGTGAAATAGAAGAAGAAGCTGATACGTTTGGGGAAGATGACGACGACGAAGACATTGTCTTTGTCATTGGCGAAGAAGCAGAAGGCTCATGGGCGCCAGAACGACGACCAGCAGCATCGGAAAGCACTTGATCGCTGGTATTGCGCTCAGTGACTCTTCAAAAAGCATCCTCGAACGAAGTTGATGACCTTACCCGTGTGCACATTTCAGTGTGTTCGTGGACAGGTGATGTTATTGATTTTACCTCTTTGTTATGTTCTTTATGTGGTTAGTTTGTGTCCTCGTATTCTCCATCGCTAACAATTTGCTTCATATGCATGCTTACACAGTAGTAATGTTTTCTTCATGGCAGTATCATCCTCGCATATCATATTATCGTTCAATCGTCCTTCACATTTCCCTAGCTGGCTTTCATACAATGTTGTTAGTTTTCCTGCAGTTATCGTTCTAGTACACGAGCTATCCCGTCTATAAACTAAGCGATCATTGGGCTCTCTGGATAGGGCAGAAATTGCATAACTCATCCCTTGTTCTCTCGTTGACTCAACGAACGCCGTCCCGTTTAAATTTGTGGTGCAAAGTGGATTCAGGCCTCAAGAACATACATCACTCCGGCAACTTTCGGTTCGTGTCGCTAATTATAAGCTGCTGAGGTCATGCAGTCTGGGGTCCTCGCGTTCGCTGCGGCTGCGCCCCACACGTAAATATAAGCCCCAGCTTCTTCCCAACCGCATCAACATAACTTCTTGCTTGCGCGCCACTATGGTCAAAGCTTCTGACGTCCTTTTGATTCTTGTTCGTACAATATTTGCTTAACATACACAAGGAATTGAATCACTGAACAGGTTGCTATCATCTTTCCGCCGGCTGCTGCTGCTTTCATCACCGGCTGTAGCTGTGACTTGCTCATCAACATATGTTTGACCATGTGAGCTTCCCATGGTCAATGGGGTAACCATGACACAGACTGATCACCTGCATAGCTTGGGATATTTCCCCGGACATATTGTGCGCCGGTTACCTATCTCCTTGAAAGAGACAGACACTGACTCCTTATCATAGCATGCCTTTTGGCTCATCTACAAGAAGATGCAAGCTGAAGAGAAATATGGTTACGGGGGGTTCCATTGTACGTATATTGTTTGCCATCCTGTGCACTGCAGCTGAGACTATGATGTAATAGACACCGGCAACGGGCATTACCAGGCTCTCAATCAAGGTTCTGCTCCTCCTGTGAACTATGGCACGGCAGGACCTTAGGTGATTTGTCACTGCGATGATATCCAGCACATTTGGACTGTAATATGCCACTCCAGTTGTAGAACTTTGTAACTAGGCTTTTGTTCATTATTGCCCATACCTTATGAGCTTTGTTGCTATCATCATTCTTTCAAAGTCTTGAAGACTCATGGATTTATCTGGTGAAGTGGAGAACACCTCCAGCATTGCAATAATCTGAAGGGCGATTTTGTCGACAAGAAACGCCGATAGAGAATTCGATTGCTTACTTCCTCAGCCTTTATCTTCTCCTTAAGCAGATTAGCAACGCGCGTAACGTCCTTGATCATGATTTTCTGACGGTCCAGCTCAGCATCAGGCACATCAGGGAAGAACCTTGCGAAGTCCTCCCGACATTCAGCCTTTTGTTTTGCGCTCAATTGACCAGCATCTTGAAGCTCCGCGTCGGTGGGCAACGACTTGGATGCCTTTTGGGGTTTGCGCGATCTAGAAACAGCGGCAGGCTTATCATCTTGATATTCCTCATCAGATGCTTCTGGTTCACTCATGTCCCCATCGACGGACATGCGATATTCATCATTTTCCGGGCCACTATCTTCCTCCTGGTCACTGCGTGCTGTTGTTTCGGAATGAGCAGCAGAAGGCCCGCCATCGTCACTCCCTTCCACATCTTCTCCCTCTAGAAGGGCAGCACACACCGATCGCCAGTCCTTCCGGCTGACTTCGCTCGATCCCTCCAAGCTTGCTCCCCAACCTGACGTAGCATTTCGAAACACAGAAAGAACTTCTTCGTCATCCGGAGGAAGTCCAAGAAGTTGAAGTGCAGCTGGGATAGATGAAAGTGATATGGAGATAGGGTCCGGAGATGGGGACTGAGTGCGGTCTTCGTATTCATCAAGTAGAAAACCACCAGCATCCTCTATCAAGAATCCTCCTGGTGATACGTCTTCTACAGCGGCGAATCCACCGGACTGAGCTGAGTCAAGCTTACGCTTCTTTCGAGGTGGGTTTGATGATCTTGAGGTGTTTCCAGTAGCTCTGTCGAATGCATCATCTATGCGTCGACGCAGACGAGCAGATAGAGCAACGAAGGTATCATCCATGATTTCTTCAGGTATGGAGGAAGTAGAAGCAATTGTGTCACGTGGACATCGACGCGTTCCTGAGTTGTAAATAGCGTGGCTGTCTTCTTTCGAACTAGGTTAGTACTACCACCTACCAGGATCCTAGGAGCTGCAAATTCAGGAATTTACCCCAGCTTGGCACGGGTATCCCCAGAACATTTGAAGGTTGCCGGGGACCTACTATCGCGCCTTGGCAAAACAGACAAGTCATCCAAAATAGTTGTCTGATACATGTGAAACTTGATTATAATCTTGACATGGTATATAAACCCTTCGGGCGGACACCATGCTACCAGTCCCACTTCCCTGACTCTGAGCCACGATGCCCCAGCTAGAAGAACAGTCGGATAAATTTGATGTCGAGGTCGCAGAAAAATTCGACCCCGCCTCTTACTACGAGCAGGCTGCCGGTCGTTTGGTGATTGATCCTCAGTATGTGACCCAATTGCAGTCTTAGCTTCTAGCAGCGAGCTAAGGACTAACGTCACACCTTCCTTCAACTCTAGGTTGGCTAAGATCGAGTTTGGCGAGGTACTGGCTTCGACGCTTAAATTGAGCCCCGACGGCTCTACGATTCTCTGGCCACAACCTGCCAACGATCCGAATGACCCACAGAATGTGAGAATATGGTTGGCATCTTGTTCTGAGGTGACCTAACTCTTGAGATAGTGGAGTGATCGGCGTAAAGCACTGCACCTTCTTGTTATTACTCTGGCAGCCAGCATACCTGACTTTGATTCGGGAATTGGTGCGTTCGCGTTACGATGCTTGTTGTAGTATCTGATGACATCGCTAGGGATTGCTTCAATCTTTGGATTGGCACAGACATATCACACAACAACAGGTGTTATCAATAACCTCACGTCCAAGTGTGTAGCCCTACATTCTTTAGCGAAGGGAAATATTAATAATAGCCAATAGTTGGAGCATTTTCCTGCTAGGTTGATTCGGCTGTTCGAGAGATGAAATCTCACAGGTTGACTAATTCTTTTTCTCACAAGGGTGGGGTGGGATCTTTTGGGTCATGCTCATGCGACGTTACGGTCGCCTTCCTGTGCTATTTTGGACACAGGCACGTATCTTTTGAGATAATTTTGTAGTGCTGGAATCCCTAAGTCTTTGCTTAGATTTTTGCCCTTGCCTTCCTCGTTGGCGCTACATTTTCACCGGACCTGGCAACCTTCACAGGTAAAATTTCATAAGCAGTCAACAAATTCAAATGCCGACATTTTTCATTTGAAAGCAATGCGCTGTTTGACAGCATTTTTTGGGTATGCTCCTATCTTAGTTTCTCAATTAGCGAGGATGATACTTACGGATAAGTAGGACATGTCCTCAGGTCACGGTACGCCCTAAATGCCCTCATCCATGATATCGTCGTTTGAACTTGATTCAAGGGCTTGTATGTTATCACTGACATATTCCCATTCCATCTACAAGCTCGAAAATTGAATATTTGGACCTTTGGATTCATCATGCATGTTGTCAATGAGCTCATCGGCATTTAACTGCACTCATGACTTAGTACAGATCCCCATTCTTATCGCCATTTGTTTTTGGCTTTCTTGTAGCACGTGCGAGGCAAGTCTACCATTCCTTTTGAGATAAACAGCTAATAATGCGCGTGCAGCTGGCGATGGACCTATGGGATTGGATCGCTCTACAGCGCCGTCGTTGTACTCCTAATCGGTCTGTTTATGGAAGAGACGTAAGTTTATGTTTCATAACCAATCTTGTATAATGCTATCTCATTATTAGGATGTATGACCGCCATCTGGATCCCAACCCACAACGAATATTGCCAGGCATACAATTTCGACTCGAGACTCTGATTGGTATCACGGGGTACAAGATGGCCAAGTATCGATCACGCTGGTCAGAGGTTGTATGGGCATGTTTGAACGTTGTATGGAGACCTCAGTTTATCTTGGTTGTATGTTTTGAAGTGAGTTTGTAAATAAAGCAATTGGCAATGTCTCAACCTTAATGGTATTCACTTCAAGGCCTTTGTTTTTGGATTCGGAGTTGGCATCAATGTGAGCTGCTATTTGTTGCTGAAGCAATCTTTGATAATTAAGGACGCTAGGTGACGAATGTCGTTTTTATGGGCTCCCCTCCTCCAGTCGGTTTTGGATTCAGCCAATTTGTGGTTGCTGGTGCCTATGCGACTCCGATCGTGAGCCTCACTGTTAGCAGCAGACGCTAGTGTGTTCATGTCGTACTAGCTAGCAGTGATTCTAGGAGAGTTGGGCGGGCGATTTCTCAATGAACGAATTATGAACTTCACTATCCGGAAGAATAAAGGTATGTTTGAGGCCGAGAGTCGATTATGGTGGGTGCAGAATGTTGGTTATCACCTAGCAGCTACTGATATGATATGCATATGATATTGCAGGGCATGTTATGTAGCAATGCCACTATTCATCTGCGGCTTCTTGACACTGGGAGCTGGTATTCAGCATTTGAATAAAGCTGCATTTATCATAGGGTGGGGGATAGCGGAAATAGCGGTCATGGTGAATACAGTCGCCGTCTGTGAGCCGCACTATCAACTGCGATTATTGGTTTAGTTGCTAATTCGTTTCAGACGCATATTGCAGTGATTGTTTCCCGCGGCATCAGGGAGAAATTAGTGCTCTGCTCAACCTGGCGCGCGTGCTCGGTGGTAGGCATTCGCAATACTTCTCTGCGTTTGCCCACACATCATGATTATTCACAGGCTTCAGCGTAGCATACTTCCAAGTCCCATGGGCGACAAAATCTGGTGGAATTCAGACATTTGGTGTTGAAGCAGCGTATGTACACGCCAGAGCAGCTCAGAACAGATTCCAACCAGTTCTAACCACATGACAGGATTGTCATAGGATTGTTTTTAATTGCTGTGCCAACGGTGCAACTGAGAGGGAGATATTTCCGAGTACGCGACAATATCATTATTATCTGATGTTGTCCTCTAACTTCCCGCTGGCATTTTAGGAGCACTTCGCCTTGTAATGCAATCTTGCTAATTTCATGAGGCAAGTGCAAGGATTGTATTCTGCGAAGACGTTTGCACCAGTCGCATTAAGTTTCTTACCGCTTGGAAGCATTAGAAACCTTAAGACTATAAGAAACAATTACAAGGAATCTCCGCCAGACCTAATAAACACAATTTCTCCATAATAAGGAAGAACATGTCAGACAACACAAGGAATGAATTAAACTATGCTGGGAAATAAACACTGAACTGCGAGGTCACAAAATGGTCTAACTTCCAAAAAAAATCAGTCCTATGCTGGATCACAGCGGGTACTCCAACTATGTGTGTAAAAGGTCCCATATGAAGTTGTAGCATCACTGTTCAAAAAAAGGATAGTAGTGTTCATACTACGAACGCAGCGAAACACAGAACACAAGTGATGAATACGCTGTATTGCACGCTTGCGCCCAAAGCGGCTCCAGATGCAGTGGTGCTTGGACTGGTCGTGCTGTGTGAGCTGGAAGTATTGCTACTCGACCCGCTGGAGCTCGAAGAGGATGATGACGACGGTGGAGCAGCTGCCGCGAGGTTGCTCACAGTAGCCCATGTTGCAGCGATGTTCGTACTCGTGTTACCCTCAAGGTAAGGGAGGTAAGACACGGTGCCATTGCTTGTGAGCTGCACGAGAGCTGTGACACCGGCAAAGTATGTCGCTTTGGAGTCCTTAGTGGTGGGCGCCGCTAGGGCCTGAGTGGTGTTTGTCTGAAGATTGATTAGTAGTGAGAATGAGTCAAAATGAGGGATCGTACCTCAACATTGACAACGTACGTCGCAGAGGAATCTGCGGGAATGAATGCGAACTCTTGCTGGACCTATCAACTACATGAGAATGTATTTCAAGTAGAAAAAAGTATAGGACTTACTGTGTTGTCCGCCTGGAAGAATGAGGCAACATGGCCGTAAGTGGTAGGGAATGCGCTCCCATCTGGGAGCGGGTAGGCTTGAGACTGCGGTTGGAAGTAGGAGTCTGGTGCCACTATCAGTGTCTCTCCCCATGATGATAAGCGTATAGTACGCACAATGAATGACGAAAATGTCTGCGCTCCCAGCAGGGACGTTGGGCACGTCTAGGAAGTGAATGTGATTTTGCGCAAGAGCCATGACTGGAACGTAATTCGAGGGGTACGGCACTTGTTCATCGTTAGTCCAGCTTAATGGTGTACTATTGGCCGCATTAAGTAAACCCATGTCTAGGGAGAAGAGGTTTCCCTGTGACAACGCATCTGTGGTGGCATGTCAACAAGACACGTTACATAGTAACGGCACAAACTTACAGAAGACGTTCGTGTCGTGGTCCAGAATAGCGCCGAAAGACGTGTAGTCGAAAGAACCAGCATTGACCGCTTGCATGGACCATGATTTTGCAGCCGCATCGTAGATGTAAAGAGAGGAAGGATTCTTGGAATCGGCATTAATGGCATAGATCGCGTTGGCATACTATCAATGGGAAATTAGCCCGCCTTCAAAAGCTACAATTGCGCATGCTCAGACTTGCCTGCGAGAGGTAGCATGTAGTGTTAGCTGCATCAAACGGCCTGTGGGGAAAAATGTAAGAGTGGTGTATGTATGCCGAAAATTACTGACGGTCGGTTGGATGCTGTGATGTCTGTGGCTGCAGTGCCTGCATAAACAGAATGTTAGGGCTCTAGTTCTTATAATGACAAGAAACTGACTGCTGGACCAGGTGTCTTGGGTGCCCGCGTTCCAGTCTTTGCCGTTGAGGTTGAAAGCAAGGAGGTTCCAATTGGCATCAAAAGCGACGCATGGAGAAGCTTGGACTGTTGCCGAAGATATGAAAAAAAGAGAGACGAGGGTCGGTAAGAACATAGTCAAGTATAATGACGGAAGAAAAGGTTGAAGAGATGAATTTGAAGAGTTCGGGTGCTGGACTTATTCCTCCCTCAGTACGTAATAAAATTAGGTAAGTCAATTTACTGCATCCAAAACATAACATTGTAGACGCCCGCAGGTACATACTTGGATGTATGTACAACAAAGGAACCAGTAGCGTATATGTCTAAACTCTAAATAATTCTTCTGGTTCTGAAATCGAGAAGCTGTCAAGTGCCAATTATAAGGCAAAACGTGCCTAATATTTGACGTACAGGTTCAGTGCTGTAACACAAATGAAAAGAACCGCACTTACTCGGAAGTAGCTTCCCTTCAGTTGTGTCATAGGAACGGCGACGAAAAACATGCCAATCACAAGCCTATAGAAACCGTCAGACTCTTTGAGTGTGTCAAGCGATATCACTTGCGCTGTTTCGACACCAAACACCATCAGTCCTCCAGATTTTGTAGCCCATGGGACTTGGAAATATGCGACTGCGAAACCTAGGGCACAATTGTGAACGTTGGACAAAGCATGCGTCATTGTAACTCACCGCCCACTGATCTTGCAAAGTTTAACAGGGCACTGACTTCGCCCTAGAGGGGAAGAACGTGTCACTGAAATGCAAATAAATATATATGCATCACTCACTGCCCTGCGAGGGAAGCAGTCATTACAATATGCGTCTAATAATATTCCTTGAGTTTTCCCACGATACTCGAAGTATTGGATCCGAGACCTACACACTGCAACGGTGTTGAGGGTGATTGCAACAAATGCAATGCCCCAGCCCATAATGAGAGCGGCTTCGTTGAGATTTTGTATCCCAGCACCCAGCGTCAAAAAGCCACAAATGTAAAGCGACATGGCTAAGTAACAGGTCCTACACAAATTCTCAGCTCTAACCTTGGACCATCAGTTGAGTTTGCATACCACAGGCGGCTCTCGGCCTCAAAGAAACCACCGTTTCTGCGAATATGCAGATCCATAATGAATTCATTGACGTAACGTCCAATGAACTCGCCAAGAAGGACGGCGACCTAAAAATTCCATGCTGAGAACAGTACTTCATAGATGGAAAAAAACTTGCAATTGGAGTCGCATACGCCCCAGCCACGGCATATTGGCTGAAGCCAAATCCGACGGGAGGAGAAGATCCCATGAAGACAACATTTGTCGTCTACAAAAGTCGATAAGTTTATTACTGCAGGTCGAAACGGAAACGCCCACGTTCACACCGATCGAGAACCCGAAAACCAATGCCTTTCGAAAAGATCAGCAAATGTGCTAAGTATGGTCAGCAGTGCAATTTATCTCACCTCAAAGAGAACTATGAAGAAAAACTGAGGACGCCAAGCGACATCCAAAGATGCCACTAGAACTTCCGGCCATCGCGGTCTGTATTTTGCCATCTTGTACCCAGTGACACCTATCAAAGTTTCAAATCGATATCGCAGTCCCGTAGAAATTTGCAGTGGCTTCAATGCAAGGTGACGGTCATACATACTGGTTCAGCAAAGTCAACGCCACTATCATAAGAAGAAACAGTATATCAGAACGTACGTTTCTTCCATAAAAAACGCAATGAGAAATAATACGATGGCGCTGTAAATAGATCCTATAGCATAGGCCCATCTCCAGCTGTCCAACAATTGATTAGTATTCTGAAGCAAGGACAGTATATGTAAGACGTACCTCGCACGCGCTACAAGAAAGCCAAATACAAACGGTGATAAGAAAGGCGATCTATGAGATAAGTGAGAAATGTTTCTCCCAATAAAAGGATTCATTCTCTGACATAACAAAACCCGAGGTCCAGATATTCAGCTTCCGTGCTTGGAGATGGAAGGGGAAGATATCTGTCACGACATAGAGACCCTTGGAGGTTGGTGAATGACAAAGTTATCACCAGGATTGCCACTAATCGTACTGTCACCTGGGGACACGTTCTGAAACCGTTGTTAGTTTAACGCAGCCATGAAAAAATGACGACCTGCCCAAAGAATGCAGTCAAACATCGCATCCCTTCATCAGCAGTTAACATCGTCCAATGAATACCAGATTATTGTGTGAATACCTGCAAAGGTGGCTAGATTCGGCGCCAGTGTGGCACCAACTAAGAATGCAAGCGCAAAAAGCTGCGCTCAAGTTTCAGGGTTCATATCGGCCAAATCACTGGAAATATATACCTGACTCCAGAAGAGTACTGGCAACCGACCATACCGTCTCATGAGCATGACCCAGAAGATGCCTCCCCAACCTGGGCTACAGATGAGAAGAGGTTATTTTCATGTAATGGTGTGATCTCACCCAGAAGGAAGATGCTCCAGCTTCAGGGAATTGTCATTGAATGTAAGTAACGATTGATGCATCACGCACTTCGACGTCAAATCGTTGATGACACCGGAGGTCGTGTCATAAGTTTGAGCGAGGTTAAATATCGACGCGATTCCTGTAAATAAAAGTATTTCACAATGACACTATTATGGATATTGAGCGAGGGCGAAATACATACCGATTCCAGAGTCGAAGTCAGGTATCACTGCAGACATTGTAATGATGATCAAATGCACAGTCTTGCGGAAATCGGTCCACTACGAATAAATAGCTTAGTGTCAGTAAAAGGGACACGATAGCGAGAAATGACGAGCATTTTGTGGGTCGTTCGGGTCGTCAGCGGGTTGAGGCCAGAGAACCTTCAACCCATCGGGGCTAAGCTTGAGCCTAGAGGCCATTACCTCCCCAAACTCGACCTTCGCCTGTCTAGTGAGTTACGAATGAGTAACGATGGAGTCGGGATAAGTAGGAGCAACAACCACGTACTCGGGGTCCACTACTAAACGGCCAGTAGCCTGCTCGTAATAAGCGACAAAATCCACCTCATCGGTAACATCGACTTTGAGTGAGTCATCTGCCTTCGTTTCTGACTGCAGCTGCTGGGATCTAACATCCTCTAGAGCCATTGGTAGTGGAGGCGAGAGCTGGGAAGCGAATATCGTCACTCGGTACCCATCATCAATTCAAAGCGCGGTGCTTACGATGACAACGTATCTCTTTTAATTTCAGGGGAGTGCGGATAGTGAGGCCTTGAGGCTCAAGCGCTCAAGGCCTCACAATCTGCCAATCTAGAGTTAAAATCGTCATTCAAGCATCGTTTTAAGATCCCTGTTCAGTATACAGTGTGTTGCAAATGACTTTAGAGGTGCACGAGAATTTTTTTGCGAGCTCGGTGTTTGTATAATAGTTCGTAATAGCCAAATGCGGGACTTTTGGTCACATCAACAATTCATTGCCACCAGCTACTGTCGTTGGGCCAGAGTTGCAAAATCTGAAGACCTCATTTTCATATCTCAATAACTACCCCACATTGAGACAAAATAATTACATGGAATTATAGCTACGTGTGTCATAGGAAAGCTCTAGTTGACAGAAGAACAAAAGGTATTTAAAAGATGCTGCCAGAGGGATGCCGACGCAAGATGTTAGAAATAGTAGAGAGTTGCAAAATTTCCCATGAGCGGGTTGGCATAGATGTCACACTATGTCACAATGTCAATTTCATGAATATGAACCCCGATCCGGCAACCGGTACGTATGAGACGAGAAAGTAGCAACATTGGCATTAGGATGATTGCAGCGCGAGAGAGTCCGCAATCAGAATTGATTCTCCGCCCCAACCTGTCACGCTTGAGCATTCTTTGACACCAGTGATTGCATCGTCAATAACAACCACAACTCTGCTCTATTCTCATCGGAAAAATGCTCAGAAGGTAAGGGTAGGTATAAAGTGTATGTGAAAAAAAAATGAAATTTTTTGGTTAGAAACTTCGTCTTCCCCTAACTATTCTATGCGAAACAGGTGACTTCGAGTGATAGATTTGAAGCCGTACATGTTCCTCATACTTATTTTTTTATAAAAAAAATACAATGCTATGAATCTGTGTTGGAAGGTCCTAGATCCAAGAATAGAGGACTTAAGATGTGTTGTTGCGTGAGCTATGAAGCATTTTGCAACTCTATACAATTTTGCAACTCTGGCCCAACAATAGTATTGCGACTCATTGCCAGCTCCCAGCGGCATAAAAATTGACCAAGTGTGACAGAAGTCACACGTCAAAACAAAGGAACAAACAAAGATTGGCAAATTTTTGGAAACGGGACTCTAAAGTCATTTGCAACACACTGTAGTCTCCGAGTCGGACGAGCTGATACTATGTCGGAAATTCCCTAGCGGCATCACATTATGACATATCTTAATGTAAGCGAGGGCGCATCACACCTGAGACACAGCCGGTGAGGCAAAAAGTCCTGTATACAAATGTGATGCACATGCTGAGAAAAATTGTGCATACAGTGTGTTGCCCTCAAAAGCGGCAACTACCAACATCAAAATTTGTGATCCTATCTACACCTCTAGAAAGGCTTCTTTTATCTTGAAAATATCATAGATGGGCTATGCTAGAGTAACATAGTAAGACTATCAGAACACTTTTTCAAAAAACTGAAGTTTCAAAAATTTCGTCAGCCAAAAGTGAATTTCGAGCGGAGCTTGACAGATTTTCCTAATTTGGTATGCAGCATCTGATGGCCGACTCTGCCAATCGGGGTTATCGATATTTAGGACGGGTTTATACATTGTACGAAATGCGAAGAAAATATTTGAAGTTTGAACTGACATAAAGAGGGGCATATAACTTCAAATTTAGTCAACTTTGTGTGTGAAATCCCAAACATGAAATATCCACCGCTATTGTTTCGTTGACTATATGTCAATGCAAATAAGAAATATAGTCAGATTTTTAGCGTCTGCTTGAATTTTAAATTTAATTATCACATAAAACTTCGGACGAAACTTGAAGTTTAATCTATGGCTATATGCTTGCTAATGCTCAAGTTTTGTCCAACAATTAGGGAATGCTCAAAATTTGAAGTTTACACTGGCAACAAAATGTGATAGCAAAACTTTAAGTTTTGCCCTTGGATGAAATAAATCGCCTGATCGTCGCCCGCTCACCACCCGCAACAAGCATTAATGGTGATCAGACTGAAATGGGCAAAAAATATCTTCATTTATATACAGTAATGTAAAACTACGTCTGACTCCAAACTATGTAAAACTCATGAGCATGAAGTGTAGGGGCATGAAAAAAATACAACTTTAGAAAGCAAAGTAATAAACTGACTAATCATGAGATAGAGATAGAATCACTGCATGACGGTCAGAAACTACCCAATGTGCGAAGTGACTGACAACCCAGGATACCTTCACATTTTCTAAGTGACTCTTGAGCTCCATTGAGTACAGTTTTGCTGGGAAGTCAGGATACATCGAGAAGGGATCAATGGTACGGTCACAGCGATTCAATGGGAGATGTCTCTGTGTAGCAAACAACAGATCTCCTGTCAGCATACCATAGATATATTTGATACTAGCAGGGACAGGGGTCAATGTCCGGTCTCCTCGGGGGTAAAAGAGAATCTGGCTGTTCCCCAAGTGTGTGGATGCCCTACTGTATATAACACCATCAAATTTGAGTGTGGCATGTAGTATTGGTGTTCGCCATCTGAGGAGGGTATATAGGTCCTCAGGCACAGTGCTAGTCGTCGCAGAGTCGGGCACCTGGACAACGTCATTCATAGGGTCCTCAGCTAGCTTTTGGCTGGAATTTTCAGCACTCTGGGGTGCATATACTCTATTAAAAATGTCTCGGTCAGGCAAGCCAGCGGTGAAGCATTGTAGCCTTGATGTATGAACAAAGCATTGTGTTCTCAAGCTCCCCTTAGAGACCATTAGTACACTTGCTCGTTCCATTTCACATAGTGACCCACCAAATTTGTGATTAACAAGAAGCCATTGGAGCATTCCAATCAGGTGCTCAAAAGGAAAACACCACCATAAGTGGGTGGGGCTGAATAGGAGTAAGTAGTCGTATATATGAAAAGATGCATGGTGGTTTGGACACAGAGAAGAGGTAGGATGGACATCTTTCAACTTTCTGACATAACCAACGATGTACGAACAATAGGCTTGTGCCCTCCTTTCAGTCATTGTTCGTGCACATGCAAGATACACTGCACAAACCAGTTACATGGTGTGATCAAGGACAGTTCTGAGGTGGGCAGCAAGCTCGGCAGAAGAGTGGGAAGTATCGGCTCCCCACAAGCTCACAAGGGCAATGGGAAGGTAAACTGTGATGAGCATTCGCCATTCATCAGCCTTGAGTGTCCCAGCAGAGGCCTCACCAAAATTACTCGGAACTGAACCTAACCAAGTAGGGACAGTTGTATCTCGGATGACATTGCAAGTGTGTTTGAGTACTTCTGCTGTGCCAAATTGATGTTCTTCTTTAGGGGCAGCTAAAGGCTGTTCACGACGCTGTACAGAAATGTTCAGAAACTCACGACAATGAACATGATGAACAAAGAGCTTACCCACTCAAGAAGAGCTTTAACATAATCAACCTTGAGTGTTCTACCAGCTTTCTGTGGCATATGACCCAACATATTACAGACAAACTTCAACGGGAAACACTTCTTGGTCCCACACCAACTGGCACCCCGATCAGGATCCTGAAAAAATCCTCGTTGACACAGCGCCCAATGGCGTTAACAACGCCATAAGGCGTCAAAGCTTGGCTTATTGTCACTCACAAAACTCAGAATCTATTTGAAAAACGTACTCCTTGATACCGAACCAAAAATGTCACTCGGAAAACAACGTAGCATGAGCTTCGGCTCCAAATCGCCTGTTTCCAGGAACACCTCTCCCACAATTCCAGGTGGACCTTCCACAAAAAGAATAACGAGATCTACAAATGTAACACTAACCTCACAAGAAATCGAAGCACAGGCCAGCACCGTAACAAATGCTGCCAGCGCACACCTACAGTACACCTCAAAAAAAGAGCCTTTGCCTTCCAACAGAACCATACACTATAACTCATTTAATCTCAGTCCTTTTACAGATCACGCAAATTTCCAATTCTACTCCGCTACCAGTACTAACAGCCATCAGATTGGTCATCTTCCTCCTCAAGCAACATGCAATAGACGAAATATCGGAGGCAGCAGCTCAAAAAATCACCCAAACGGTAGTCCAACAAATATCGGACTTGGTTGCCACCAAATTGGTTGATCATGTCATTGCTGCCATCACTCCGCAAGTAGCTCGCTTACTGACGGCCTGAGAAAACCTAGAAAGCACCATTCAGAAAACAGAATCAACCAAACCTATACTGACAGAAACAGATCCACTCGAGGTGACCTCTAACCAAATAGCTCAACTAACCCCAAAAATCATAGACCAGATCACGGCCGCCATAACCCCACAATTAGAACAGCTCTCATCAACATCCTGCCTACTAACCCAATCCTTGGAGGAAGCTGCCAAAATACGTCAGAAGATCAATGAAAGCACAGACCTAGGCTGAGACATCAACGCTGCAGCAGAACAAATCACAAACGCAACAGACACCATACACAGCGCCATAGAGGACTGTCACACCTCCATCAACCTCCTCTCCCCAACACTCGAATCGACGCAGGAATCTCTTCACACCCTCTCAATGCAACTTCTAACTCAGCCCGACCCCGCCCCACCCACCAACACCTCAAAACCATCATTGTTCAGCGAAATAGTATCATCCCACACTCCAACCTCGACAACGAAGCCACACACGTCCCGTGGTAGCCCACCAAATGTCCAAGTCTTCACTCACCAACCCCAACCACCCTCAACTCAAAACACCAAATCCCAGTATCAAACTCCACCACTAGACATAGCTTTAGCCAGGGCTGCCTCACGCGCAAGACAAATCCTCCTAGATCCCATCCCTGGAAACCTAACCTTCCCTCCCACAATCAGTCACGAAGATGCCATAAGCAAGATCCGAGAGGTAACTCAAACTGCCCTCATGCCCAACAAATGCGAAAGACAACGTCCTAGCTTTGATACAATTAAGGAACAGAGGTTTGATAGTGGAAATGGACAGCGAAGAAACAGTAACCAGACTAAAGGACAGCTGCACACGAAAGAACTTCCTCCAAGCACTAAACTTTTCAGTAACGTTCAAAGACCGCACCTACACTCTGGTGGCGCAATATGTACCAGTCAACCTACTCATAGAACGCCCTGGCCTCCTCCGCCTTGTAGAAGGAAAGAACCACCTGGAGGATAACTCACTCATATCAATGTGTTGGATCAAACCCCCACACAAACACCTGCCCATGCAAATGATGGCCTTCGCCAT